CTTGTAGAATTTGCAAAAAAATCTCATACCTATATCAAAAGATTAATTACATAGATAGATAATAGTTTTATATGACATAAATTGATAAATAACATCAAACTTAGATCTAATTTAATTACTCCAACACTATCACTATTTAGCTCCAACGAAGACATTGATAAGAATTTCAGTAGTGATTTCTGTTCAGCGTTATTATCAGAAATGCTGATTTTATCAGAAGCGCCAAAGTTTCTATTATCTTCCCGATGCCAGTACCTGTCCCCTAAAATCAATTCAACGGGGAAGAGTGTCGAACAACGAAGTTGCAATCAAAGTTTCCCTTATCTTTAAAAGCAAAGCACCTCATCCATGAAATATGGCCAACGCAATCTTTGCTCCGAAAACGATCTGACTTCCAAAGCATTGACCTAAAAATCAATGAATTGGGTTTCTCAAAGTGCCACACGTGCTCCTTCCGGTACCACACTCATCCTCATCTTTGCTCTGTTTAATTTTCTCTACAATTGATCAATTGATTCTCTCCAATTTTCACATTTAAGAGTAATGATATTGATGTGATTTTAGTAATGTGACTATTGTGGGCTATCATGTCATGATCAGATCAAGTTACGGTTCCTTTTTTTGCAGGATAATCGTTTCAGCCGTGTGCGTTTTAATGCTAATTCAATACTAGACACTGACATCTATTTATACTAAATCGTAATCGTATATATTTTTTGGATGGAGTTTAATGTATCCCAAGAAGCCTTAGCAGGATTAGACGCCTTCTGCGGAGATCGTTTCTGGGTAAGCAGTTTTTCTTCCTTTTGTTTGAGCGATTTCTTTCTCTGCTTTCTTTTTTTAGGTATTGTCTCAACCTTTCGCGTAGTTATTCAAAAGTAAATTTGCTTTTCCGAATTACGCTTTTTCATTTCATTAAAATCGACGTTTCTATTGAAATGGCATTCGCTCTCTGTAGGTTCAAGTGAAAACCTGCATGAATATCTTTAACTTTGATTCACAAAAGCGTGTTTATGGAGAAAAGATTTCTTAAAGGTTTATAAAGCACTTAAATGAAAAGAGCTGCAGATTTCTGTCACACCATTTCTTTCTGAACATGAGAAAAATCCAATCTTTCTTCTTTTCCAAGAGAATTGTGGTGTAATATGCTTACTAAAAAATGCTAATTGTATCTCCAAAATAAATTTCTAGTGAGTTCTTATTTGGCAATAGAATTTGTAACTTTGCAAATTATGACTATAAAGACAGTGCCCACGCAAATGTTTGAACAAGGTTTTCCCGTTTCCGAATTACTTTTTTGTACTGAAGACGATTACGAGCCTCTATCGGAAAAAAACTAGTCAGAAACAGATATTCTTAAGTTCTTGATCGATGGGATGAGCTGCAAAGGCTCATTCTTAGCTTATAGAACAGGTAACAAGATGTCAGATTGGGTTGCGCTTGGAGAAATCAAAGGCTAGATGACTCAATGAATATTGACTTGACCTCGCAGGGAAAATGTTCACTCATTTATGCTTAGTTTCAGCCAGATTTCGTTTTGGGTATCTCCACAGTTCCCAAGGACCGGCCGAAACAGACCGGCTAATTGAGAGTGTGCGGGGTTGGGTTGCGGCGTCGCAGTCAAGTCATTTTGCCTGTGGTTCAGTACTCATCTTTCCGGCACATTACTGATGACTTCTAAGAACTCCAATAAC